GGAATGCCAAAAATATTATACAAGGTTTGGGTTCCCCCTACTGGTGTGCATCCTAGACTCATGAATTCATTAGTACATACTAGAAGGACCTAGAGATAGAGATTAGAAATAACTATGTTATTTAAAGAGACCTGATGTTGAGATAGGGAGAAGCACCATTTCCCCTTTCCTGCAAGTGTCTTACCAAAAAATTAAGATGATGTAAAAATTGTATTTTCTACATGTAGAAAGAACAAGAACTTAATCCTTCAATATTTGGTTTTAAATGTTGTCTCTCTGATAAGCTGCTTATATGCAGTGCCTCTCAAATGCTTTATGTTATAATCTAAGAAATAATAATACACCAGTGGATCTACAAAAGGATTTAAAATCCCAAGGAAAAAATTTAAAACTAGCATTTTTGTCATAATAAAATTGAAGAGCAGGCATGAAAGCTCACTAATTTTTGTTTTAACATTTCAGAAAATGACATATCATCTGATGGTGTCTGTCCATTTAACATCTGTTCTTCCTAATTTGTCATATGTGTATTTGAAACTGTTCTTTACTTTCTATCTTAATAAATGCCAAGTAATATTCATGGCTCGTTTTGAAAGAGAAAAATTTTAATTGACTCCTAAAAGTCTCTTCTGAACTTCTTATTGTGTTTGTATTTTAAAGGACTATTCCATCAAATTAAATTATTGTATTTTTAAATTACTTTTTAGCAATGCAGTCAACCTTTTAAGCAATGTTCCGGTCTCTTGTTTGGATGTTCTCATTTGTCCATTAACCCATGAAGAAACAGCCCAAGAGGCAACGACTCTAGATGAACTGCCCAGTGAAAAAACAGCTGAGAAGGAAACAGTTTTGAAAAACAATACCATGGTGTACAATGGTATGAATATGGAAGCTATTCATGTTTTACTCAATTTTATGGAGAAGAGAATAGACAAGGTAAGATTGGTAAAATGGAAGCCTTGGGAAGATACTTACGAAGAATGTAAATGTGCCATGTGCATGAACACAACACAGAGCATGATTTTGTATCTTAGCCTATTTTCATAGCTTACATGTTGTGTAATTATACTTTGAAAAGCATCTTATTATATAATATATGATAAATTGCTGTTTTTTAATGCTGAAAATTGTATTCATACAACACCAACATTGTGCGTGAAAACAAAGGAAAATTTACTGTTCCATGTAGGTACTTTGTAAGTTCTACAGGTAAAAATTATCCCTCCAAAACTTGATACTTTCCAATACCTAAAAGACATCTTTAAAAAAATTAAAAAGACACTTTAGTTGTCATTTCTTTATGTGTTCATTTTGTCTGGCCTGTAACTTGTTTTGTCAGGTAACTATTGTAAAAGGCAGCAAGGTAGCATAGATTGGTCACCAAAACGTTTGCCTCATTTAAGCCCATTGGCTAAGTCAGTGGGAATCCTGGAGAATTTAGAAAAACCCAGGAAGAAGAGGGGGTGGGGGAGGAACTAGACATTAGTAAGCATGAAACAGCTGATAAAATCGAAATATTGTTAGTAAAATTAATTTTAACATAGTTTGTAAGCTTTGATAATATAAAATGCACCCCTCACTCCCAGTATTAATATGCTATATTACATGGAGGAAAATACTACTATTAGAAACTAAACTAATGGGGCATGTATGTTTTCTTTATAGGGAAGCAGCTATAGAGAGGGTCTAACTCCAGTTCTCAGCTTATTAACAGAATGTTCCCGAGCCCATCGAAACATCAGAAAATTTCTCAAAGATCAGGTAACTGCTTAATGTATATAACATCTCAAAGTTAATCTCTTGTGTGTTCTTAAACATAGAATTAATGAGTTGGGTTCTTTCATAATGGTTTTCTTTCAGAAAATCAGAAACTTAGAAAAGTTTATCTTTGGAGTCTTCCTAATCCAGAAATAGATGAACTTGTATCTTATTTGAGTCATTTATTCACTTATTCAGTAAATGTTTATTGAAATCTACATTTGCTATGTTCTTTTTTTTTTTTTTTTTTTTTTTTTTGGAGAGATTTTTTTGCTATAGGGTGCGTGCGCTCGCTAGACAGACAGAGACATAGAGACAGAAAGTGAGAAATCACCCCCCAGGGGAATGGCCATGCCGCAGTCCCTTCTCCTCTGTTCTCCTCTCGGGATCTTGGACATGCACGCACACGCGCCCGGCGTGAGTTTTAAGCCACCGGGTCCGGGATGCGAACCGCGGTCAACTACGTGGGAGTCCAGCAACATAGCCATTACGCTAACTGTACATTTGCTATGTTCTAAGAATTATTCTGCACATTGAATGACAGGTGAAGTCTTTGCACTTTGGGAGTTTATTTTTTAGTGTGGGGACAAAGTAACCAAGTTGGGACCAGCAGATGGAGTAATGGCTATGTCGCTGGACTCCCATGTAGTCGACCGTGGACACTCTTCATCAGTGTCTACTGTCTATTTACATCTATACCATCATATGCTTTGTCTCTTCCAAGGCAATACTTTCCTGTCTCCATCTCCACTCCTTGAGTGATTCTCATTCAGGAATTATGGTTTTGAAAATCACTTACATACTGATAACTCCCAAATTTTTATTTGTAACTTTCACCTATTCCTTGTGTTCTAGAGGTATATAAGGAACGGCATATTTATCTCCTCCCTTTGAATGTGTAGTAGGTAGCCTTACCTTTTTTTCGTGTTTGTTTGTTTGTTTTAATACAGATTTTTGCTACAAAGTATGTATGCTCACTGGAGAGACAGAGATTAAAAGGAAGAAATCACCCTACAGGGGGATAGCCACACCTCAGTCCCTTTTCCTCCCTTCTCTTCTAGGGATTTTGGGCAGGTGTGCACACACTCCTGGCATTAATTTCAAACCACCAGGTTGAGATTTGAACCATGGTAGGCCACATCGGAGTTCAGTGCCTTAATCACTATGCCACCTGCTGGCCCCGTTATCTTAAATTTTATTATTTCCCAAACTGTTACCTTCATTGCCCATCCCCTAACCTTTTTCTTCCCCTTTTCTCTCCATTTCAGTATATTGTGTCACCATTCACTTCACTGTTCATTTACCACCATAGAGACTTTTTCCTAGTAAGTGAAGTAGGTTTCTTTTTCCCCAGCATACTTATAGTCAGAATTTACTAAGTACCCTTGTAGAGCACATCAATAGATAGTACTGATGGGGAGAGATTATAAAGTAGGGTATTGGGGCAGCAGATGATGTAGTGCTTATGTTGTAGGACTTGGATAAGGCTGACCACTGTTCAAGTCCTGGACTTGGTGGTTTGAAACCTAGGCCAGGAGCATGTATGTGCAGACCCAAGATCCCAAGAGGAGCATGGAAAAGACAAGACTGTGGCGTGGTCATCCCCCGTGGGGGGGTGATTTCTCATTTTTCCTCTCAGTGTCTCTCTGTCTCTTAACAACACATAGGCCCTAAGGCAAAAACCTCTTAAAAAAAAAAAAAAAAGAAAAGAAAAAAAAAAAGAAAAGAAAGTAGGGACTCTATCTGGCACCAGCTCTGTAGCCAAGTGCTTAAGGGAAATGGGTCCCACATAACCCACCGTGGTTTGAATCCTGACTCTTAGTGGCTAGAAAACAAAATCCCAGCAGGATGGACAAATGGAAGAGAATGGATTGTGGCATGACCACACCCCATTGGGGGTGCTCTCTCCCTCTCTCTCTCCATCTCTTGGTCTCTCTCTAGCAAGTGCACATGCACTCTAGGCACTAAAAAGAAAGTACTGACTTTAATCTTTGAGGAATTTACAATCTGTTGAAAAAAGAGAGCTGCTCCATGACCTGGTGACTAAGGCAGATGATCCCGTATGACCAACCATGCAGTTTTAGTCCTGGACCCGGCAGTTTGAGAATCATTCCATGTGCATGTGTGTGCCTGCCCAAAATCGCAAAGGGAGGGAGAGACAGAGGATAAGGGGTTGTAGACTGACCATACCCAATGGGGAGTGCTTTCTCCTCCTCTTCTCTCTGTCTCGCTCTGGCAAGTGCACACACTGTCAAGCACAAAAAAAGAAAAGAGTGATACCATAAAGTATGAATAATCCTCTAAGACCCAGTAATTAATTAATTAAGATCATTTTCAAGTTTGGAGTTGGTGAAAAATAATAAATGAAAATACTTTGTTTTCTTTTTTTTTTTTTAATAGGATCTAGTTCAGTTAAACTGTATAGGTTTTACTATCTCTAACTAGGACAGCCAGAAACACCTATTAGTTAAACAGCTTCATTATATGGAGGCCTTAGGCTATATACTATATAGGTAGAAAAGATTATGAGAGCTTCTCTTTGTCCTCAAGAAACTGCAATATAAGGAAGGAAGTGAAACATAAGAAGTAAGAAGGTAACTAAAAAGATAAGGTATAAGATGGAAATCAGGGGAACCAGCAGTTAGCGTAATGGCTATGTCGCTGGACTCCCACGTACTCAACTGTGGTTCACGTCCTGGACTCGGTGGCTTAAAAAACCCACGCCGGGCACGTGTGCATGCGTGCCCAAGATCCCGAGAGGAGAATGGAGGAGAAGGGATTGCAGCGTGGCCATCCCCCCTGGGGGTTGATTTCTCACTTTCTGTCTCTCTGTCTCTCTCTGTCTGTCTGGCGAGCACACACTCCCTATAGTGAAAAACCTCTCTCAAAAAAAAAAAAAAAAAAAGATGGAAATCAGCTTTTCTTCTGAGGAGAATGCAGCGTAGGCTGTGATGATCAAGAAAAGTAGAACTTAAAGTACTAAAAGATTAGCTTTGATAATAATGTAAATGGAACCATGGTTAATTAATGATTGTGTCATGTAGTGAGTATCTGATTAAATACAGCTCACACATATTGAAAAGGAATTGGTTTGAGAATCTGTTTGGGGGCAGATACTGTAGAAAGGAAACCAGATAACAGAAATTACTGACTCAGGGTATATTAGTCTGGAGAGGCTTACAAGAGGAGCCGGACAAAATCTGTCAAAGGTGAAATTTGTTGGAGCTTAGCATTTGGGGCAAAATACATAGGCAGTTTGGGAGTGGTATATAATAGTAAGAGCAGCAAAATACCATTAAAAAGTTGTTTTTAGGAACCCAGAATATAGTTACCCGAATTTTCTTGTGATAATCTCTGTTGGTAGATTCTGTACTCCAGGTACTATAGACTTATACTAGATGAAGTCACATTTCATTCTTCTAGAAATGCGAGATGAATTCATATGGTTGGCTTAATCAAATAAGAATTTAATTTGTGATTACTTTGTATCTAGCATTGTACTCTACCTGGCTAGAGATATTGAAATAGGGATTCTCTAAGTACTTTGATTATATAACTCAGTTTTCTGAAATTTGACTTACATTTTTGTTTACAACTTTTTTTTTTGTTAATTTTTCATTTTTTTTAGTTTGCTGTAGGCTGCAGGTTCTTGCCAGAGAGAGAAAGAGAGGGGGAAGAATGAGAAATCACTCCCCCACCAGGGTGACAGCCAAACCATAATCTCTTCTCCATTCTCCTCTTAGGCTTTATTTGTGATTTTTGTTTGTTCATTTGTTTGTTTTGTGGTAGGTTTGTATGTGCTTGCCAGAGAGAGACGGTGAAAGGGAAAGCGAGAAACTACCCACCAGGATAGACACACTGCAATTCTTTCTCTTCCTGGGATTCTGGAAACGCACCCACATGTACCCAGTGTGATTTTCAAGCCTCCAGGTCTAGGACTCAAACCATGGTTGACCATATGGAAGTCCAGCGCCTTAAGCACCATGCTGCCTGCTGGCCCTCCTCTCAGGATTTTGGGTATACACACACACACATGTACCCAGCGTGTTTTTCAAGCTGTCAATCCTGGACTTGAACTGCACAATTGGCTATGTGTGATCCAACCTCCTTAACCACCATGCCACTAGCTGGCCCTGTTTACAGCTTTCGATCTAGTGTCTCCAGTACCTCCTGGTATGTGGTAGACACTCAATATAGAAAGAGAAAGAACAAAGAACGGCTGTTGAATAAATAAAAATATATATATGTATATTAAGGGTCTGGCATATAATAGGTGCACAGTAAATTATTATTATTTGACTCTATCTTCCTTTCCTAGCATAGTGCCTAGTTTATAGAATTTACTTTAATTAAAAGTTAATAAAAGTGGGACCAGCAGATGATGTAATGGTTACATTGCTGAACTCCCATGTAGTAAACCACAGTTCAAGTCCTGGACCCAGTGGCCTAAAACCCACACCAGGCGTATGTGTGTGTATGCTCAAACTCCTGAGAGGAGAATGGAGAAGGAATTGCGATGTGGCCATCCCCTCAAGGGGTGATTGTCTCTCTGGCAACTGCAGGCTCCTATAGCAAAAATCTCTAAAAAATAAAGTTAATAAAAGTTACTAAAATTAATTCATTTTTCCTTTGATTTGCTGATAGTTATTAAGTAACTATAATATGCAAGGCACTGGGAAGAGAGCAACAAATAGAACCAAGAAATCCCTGCCCCAGTGATACTTAGTCTTATGGATAGAAGCAGACAGTAAACAGATAAATAATACACTGTGTCAGGTGGTGGTAAGTTGTTACAATGAAGACTAGCAGAGTTTGCGGTGGGGTGGTAAAAAAGAGAATGCCAGGCCAGCAGATGGCATGGCGGTTAAAGTACCTGAGTTCCACATGGCCAGCTGTATGATTTTAGTTCTAGACCCAGTGGATTGAGGGACATGCTGGGCATGTGTGCATGCATGCCCAGAATCCCAAGAAGAGAATGGAGGAGAAAAGACTCTATTGTGGCCATCAGGTTGATTTCCCATTTCCCTTTCTCTTGTGGGTACATGTGCCTTACAGAAAACAAATATAGAGAGAGAGGATCAGGAGATGGCCTAATGGTTGTTGCTAGACTGCCATGTAGTCAACTGTGGTTCAAGTCCTAGACCCAGTGGCTTAAAACTCAAGCTGGGCATGTGTGTGTGCCAAAAATCCCGAGAGGAGAATGGTAGAGAAGGGATTGTGGCATGGCCATCTCCCCTGGGGTGGTTTCTTGCTTTCTGTTTCTTGTGCGCGCGCGCTCTCTCTCTCTCTCTCTCTCTCTCTGTCACTCCAGCAAGTGCACATACCCTACAACAAAAATCTCTTAAAAAAAAAAAAAAGAGAGAATGCTAACCGTTAGTGATATAGGGTGGTCAGGAATTAAGAATTCTTCATTTAATTTTATTTATTATTATTATGTTCTTTTAATTTGCTATAGGGCACATGTGCTCACTAGAGAGAGAAGAAAGAAAGTGAGTTCAGCAACTTAACCACCAGGCCACCTGCTGGTCCCTTAAAGCAATAATTATTTAATTGTATTTTTTTTAATTAAAGAATTCTTTATTTAATGTTATTTATTATTTTTAGTAATGTTTTAATATTTCAAAGGTGGAGCCAACATAATTTGCTGATGAATAGATGTGGGATGTGACTCTAAGGTATTGAGGATATTTTCAAGGTTTTCTACTAAGCAGTTGGAAGAATGGGCATACTATTTAATGACATGGAAAGTTCAGGATTGGGGAGAGCGTTTAGTCCCATTTAAGACATAAATTTGCGAAGTCTATAAAAGTCCAGAGATTAGAGGCAGAGAGTAGAAGAGAATGGGGATGGAGAGTTACTATTGAATGTGTGTAAAATTTCATGTCTATAATATGACTAAGTTCTAGAGATCTGCTATATAATATTGTGCCTATAGTTAATCATACTGTATTGTACACATGAAATTTTGTTGAGTTAAAAAAAAAACGTAGAATTAAATAGTCTAGCAAGACTGAGTCATAATTTGCATTTTAACAAGATCCACAAGTGTTTGATGTGCACTTTACAATCTGAGAAGCACTAGCCTAAAGGTTAACAGGGTGACTTAAGAACACTTTAATTTGGGAACCAGCAGTTGGCGTAATGGCTATGTCGCTGGACTCCCACGTAGTCGACCGCGGTTCGTGTCCCAGACCCGGTGGCTTAAAACTCACGCCGGGCGCGTGTGCGTGCGTGCCCAAGATCCCGAGAGGAGAATGGAGGAGAAGGGATTGCGGCGTGACCATCCCCCCTGGGGGTGATTTCTCGCTTTCTGTCTCTATGTCTCTCCCTGTCTGTCTGGCGAGCGCACGCGCCCTACAGTGAAAAATCTCTCCAAAAAAAAAAAAGAAAGAAAAAGAACACTTTAATTTGCTCTGTGATCATCCTGTAAGTAGCGTGGTAAAAGCATATTTTGTATTATGGATTTTATGTTGAATATTCCCTGTATAGATATACAAATTTATCATAATCTTTTTGTTTTGAGGTATTTGACACAGGGCGCATATGCTCAGCAGAGAGAGGGAAAGTGAGAAATCATCCCCCGGAGGAACAGCCACATCTCCATCCCTTCCCCATTCTCTCAAGATTTGGGGCATGCACACACAGGCATCTGGTGTGGTTTTCAGACTGCCAGATCTGGGACTCTAACCATGGTCTGCCATATGGAAACACAGCACTTTAACCACCATGCTACCTGCTGGCCCCTGATTTATCAGTCTTAAAAAATTGTAATCATAAAAAAAATTATAATTTTAAAGGGGCGAAACAGTGGTGCAGCAATAAAACCCAGAGGTGGGCAGTCAGCCCACCTGGGATGGTTCCGAGTTTGTTTCCAGACACCCTCCTCAGTATGCTAGGCATATGTGTGTTGATGATCCAGGACTGGCTGAGGCTGGGGGTGTATTGTGGCATCAAGACTCTGTTGGCAGCTCTTGCTCTCTCTCTGGCTGAGAAGAAATAAAGGAAAACTTGGCGACCAGCAGATGACATAATGGTTGTCGCTGGACTCACATGTAGTAAACCATAGTTCAAGTCCCAGATCCGGCAGCTTGAAAATCACACCAGGCTTATGCACATGCATGCCCAAGATCCCAAGAGACGAGTGGAGGAGAAGGGATTGCAGCATGGCCATCACTCCTGATTTCTCACTTTCTGTCTTTCTGTCTCTCCTATGAGTGCACACACCCTGTAGCAAAATCCCTCTTTAAAAGAAGAAGAAGAAGAAACTTAAAAAGAAAAATTATAACTTTAAAAATGAAAGTTGGCCAGCCAGTGGCCTGGTGGTTAAGGCAGCTGGATCCACATGGCCAACTGTACAGTTTGAGGCCTGGACCCAGCAGCTTGAAAAACACCAGGCTCATGTGTGTGCATGCATACCCAAAATCTCAAAAGGAGAAGCAGGAGAGAAGGGATTGCAGCTGTCCATTCCCTATGGGGATGCTTTTATCTCTCTGGTGAGTGCACATGCCCTCTTACAAATTAAAAAATATTAATAATAACTTAAAAAGTGAGTCCATTTTAACATAATCACTGCCCATACTTTATGGTCATAGCCCTTTATAAAATCCTGTAATACATTACTTTTTAGTAATTAAAAAAAAAAAGTCTGAAGGTCAGGGAAGAAATCAACATAAAGATATAGTTCAGGGAATCATCAGGATATAGAGGCTGTATAAAGCCACAGAACAGTGAAATCACCAATAGAGTGAGTGAAAATAATGAATAAGAGTTGCCCAAAGATTCAACTCTTGAATATTCCAACATTCACAGAACAGGAAGAGAAAAGAGTCTATAAAATAGTGATGAAGGTCATGTTACTACCTCCTTATCAGGTTACTATAGGATTGAAAATAATATATGTGGCCCAGCCTAAGTGGTGTAGTTCATAGTGTACTGGACTGCAGTGCTGGAAGCTACATGACCCACTGCAAGTCTGGATGCCTGGGCTGGCCTACAGATATGCCAGGACCGTCCTGGGAATACCCAGTGTCTAGAGAAGGCGGAGGGCTGCAGAAAGGAGATCAAGTGTGACAAGACCCTGTTAAGGGTGCCTTCTCTCTTTCTCTCTCATGTGCACATGCACATGCTCTCCATCATAAAATTATAATGTATGTATATCATCCTCTTAGCATCTAGAACATTATAGAAAGTACCCAATAACTAATAGCCATTTTTATTATGACATTAAACAACTAGAAAGCATAAATACAGAATTTTTAAATAAATAATGAAAACACTGCAGGACATAAAAGAAAGTGAACATTAACATGACACAGTGTTAAAGAAATCTCTGTGGAAGAAAGAGAAACTTGACTCAGACTTTAAAATAGATTTTGGTAGGGGCAAGTAGAAGCATTTCAGGTACAGAGATGAGTAAAAACAGAGTGTATTTGAGGATAGCATGGTGGTTCAAACAAAACCTCATTACAGGCATGAAATTATTTGAGGTCTGTTTTTTTGTTGTTGTTCAATTCATTTTATTTTAAAGCTAACCTGTATTTACTTTAAAAAAATATTTTTCTGCTTATAAAAAACTAAGCCCTGTAGACATTACATAACTGACCAGTTGCATGGTACCATCCTCCTTTTCTCTAGTACCCTCGATTGATGATGGGTTTTGCATTTGTGCCATCAGGTTTTACCACCATTGAGGGATGTGACTAATCGACCTGAAGTTGGCTCAACTGTGAGAAATAAGCTGGTGCGCCTCATGACACATGTTGACCTTGGAGTCAAGCAAATTGCTGCTGAATTCCTTTTTGTCCTTTGCAAAGAGAGAGGTAGGTTAAACTCTCTTTGTCCTCTGCTTTTACTCTTTTGGAGAGAAATTTTCTTTTTAAGTGGTCATCTTAATTCACTGTTTCCACGGCTTACTGTATCTGTCTGTTCTAGTCGAAGAACTGAGGAAATCATAAAAATTAAGAATTTGAAAGCATTACATATGCTTCTGAATTGAGACATGCAGAGACAGGTATATTACCAAACACATTCACATTTAAACTTTGCCTCCTGTAGTCTCAACTCAAGGCTTCTTAGTACTGATGGGGCAGGACCTGGAACCATTCTGAAAAGACTGCTTAAGTAATTTAGGCATTACTAGTTTGATAACCAGGCAGAGACCTGGGTTAGTTCCCCTAGTTAATTCTTCTTAAAGTTAAAGCTATCGTAGTTGAGGTTTTTCACTAAGTTCTTCAGTTAATAAGTTGTTATTGATTGTAAGCTACATAATGTAGCAGAAGTACAAAAATAAGATAGGCCCATTACCCTTGAGACAAGGGTAAGATAGTAAAGACTAATGTTAACTATACTATTGGGGCCAGCAGGTGGCATGGTGGTTAAGGCGTTAGACTCCCACATGGCCCACTGTGGTTTGAGTCTCAGACCTGGCAGCTTTCTTTCTCACTTTCCCTCTCTGGTGAGCACATGTGCCCTATAGCAAATTAAAAAGCAATAATAATAGTAGTAATCATTTTAAAGTAAATTGATTTTTTTAAAAAGACACTCTAAAGTAACTATACTATAGTATAATATGTACTACTCTGTAAGTTCATATAAAGTGATTGTCTACTGGAATAGATTCAGCAATTAAAAATATTTTTTAGAGATCAGCAGATAGCATAATGGTTACATTGCTGGGCTCCATCTAGTCAACTACGGTTCGAGTCTTAAACCTGGCGACTTAAAATTCATGCTGGGCATGTGTGTGTGCATGCCCAACATCCCAAGAAGAGAATGGAGGAGAAAGAATTGCAGTGTAGCCATCCCTCACAGGGGTGATTCCTTGCTTTCTGTCTCTGTGTATCTCTCCAATGAGCACATGCACCCTATAGCAAAATCTCTCAAAAAAAGAATTTTTGAATTGTATAGATTCTATCCTCTATAAAGGGCAAGTTCTCCAAACAAGACACTTTGACTAAATTATTCAGATATTCTCACCTATTTCTTTCTTCTTCACTAGTTTATAAATATACTAATATAAAATTCTACCTAAGGGCCAGCAAGTGGTACGGTATTTACGGTATTGGACTCTCACGTGGAGGTTTGACCCTAGATCTGGTGGCTTGGAAATTATGCTGGGTACTTGTGCTTGCATGCCCAAAATCCTGAGATCCTGAGAGGAGAAGGGATTGCTGTGTGGCCATCTCTCCTGGGAGGTGATTTCTTACTTTACCTTTCTCTGTCTCTTAAAATACACACACACACACACACACACACACACACACACACACACACACACAGAGAGAGAGAGAGAGAGACACATAAAAAAAAAAAATCCATTTAGGCAGATTTTTTTTTAAATATTTTTTAAAAGTACCCCCTTTTTTTTAAATGGGATAGAGAATTTAGAGATGAACATTTTACTCACTTCTCTCAGAACCTTTTCTCAATTATATTCCTGTTTGTTTGTTTGTTTGTTTATTGAGAGAAGGTTTTTTTTGCTATAGGGCATGTGAATTTGCCAGAGACAGAAAGCAAGAAATCGCCCTTCAAGGGGGATAGCCATATTGCAGTCCTCCTCCATTTCCTTTGGGATTTTGGGCATGGATGCACACGCACCCAGTGCGAGTTTCAAACCACCTGGTCTGGGACTCGAACCAAGGTCAGCCATGTGGGAGTCCAGTGATGTGGACCATTACACCATCTTCTGGTCCCGGCAAGCTTCATTTCGGACTTGTTGATTGAAGCATGTAAGTTCCTATTGAGATGGTAAGTTAGCAACACAATATGATCATTATTAAAACTGGTGATAGCTATTTTAAACTGCATGACATTTTGTAGAAAATCTCATTTAATCTCATAAGGACACTTTAAGGGAAATATTATTTCAGTTTTATAAATGAAGCAATATTGGCACTTAAGAGCCTTTCAGTAACTTTCTAGAGTTAAGACAGTTTCTTAGAGCAGGAGCCTATATGTGAGGCCTGTCTTCTTTCCATTTTACCATATTTCCTCTTATGATAATTAGCTATTATTATAGACATTTTTTACTTTAAATTATCCTCCTCTTTGATGGCTTTGAAAAATTTTAGTGTCTTGAAATGAAGTGATTAGCATATGTCTTGTATATAGTTATCTATAAGTATTGACTGAACTGAACCAAGTTTTCTATGAGAAATGAGCTTTTTTTAAAAAATGCAACTATTTGAGGACCAGCAGGTGGTGTGGTAGTTAAGGCGCTGGGCACTCCCGCATAGCTGACCATGGTTCAAGGCCTTTACCTGGTGGCTTGCTTTCTCACTTTCCCTCTCTCTATTTCTCTCTCTCTCTGTATATCTCTCTCTGGTCAAATTAAAATAAATTAATGAATAAATAAAATTTTAAAATAATTCTTTTTTAAAAAAATGATTGTATGTGTGTATCTATATATAAATCTAAACCACACATGTATATCATGTATATCTCTGTTCATTAAAAATGTTTACCAAAATACTATGCATTGTCACTTTGTAGTAAGATTAATAGTAGTTTGTTTTTGTGTGTATATTTTTTCTTTTTATAAAAAAGAATTATTTCTTTAATTATACATATATTTTTTCTTAATTTGCTCTAGGGCATGTGCATTCATAAGAGAGAGAGGGAGTGGGAAAGCAAGCTGCCAGGTCCAGGACTTGAACTGTAATCAGTCATGTGGGAGTCCAGTGCCTTAACCACCATGCCACCTGCTGGCCCCTTTTATTTTTCAAGGTTTTTTTTATGATTTTTCTACACCAAACATGCATTTCTTGCATACTTTTTAAAAGTTTTAAGGGGGAGGGAGTTACTTTCTTCAATCTATATACAATACTTACACCACTGTCTTTCATACTTTAACTTTTTTTTTTTTTTGAGAGGCTTTTTGCTATAGGGTGTGTGTGCTTGCCAGAGAGAGACAGAGAGACAGAAAGCGAGAAATCAACCCCTAGGGGGGATGGCCACACCGCAGTCCTTCTCCATTCTCCTCTCGGGATCTTGGGCACGCACGCACACACGCCTGGTGTGAGGTTTTTTTGTTTTTTGGTTTTTTGGGTTTTTTGGGAGAGATTTTCACTATAGGGTGCGTGCGCTCTCCAGACAGACAGAGAGAGACATAGAGACAGAAAGCGAGAAATCACCCACCAGGGGGGATGGTCACGCTGCAATCCCTTCTCCTCCATTCTCCTCTCGGGATCTTGGGCTCGCACGCACATGCGCCCAGCATGAGTTTTAAGCCACTGAGTCCCGGACGCGAACCGCAGTCGACTATGTGGGAGTCCAGCGACATAGCCATTACGCCAACTGCTGGTTCCCCTGGTGTGAGTTTTAAGCCACCGGGTCCGGGACTTGAACCGCAGTCGACTACATGGGAGTCCAGCGACATAGCCACTACACTAACTGCTGGGCCCAACATCTTGAAAAATAAATCTCTTTTTCATATATCATACTATCCACTCAGTCTTCAACTTGCTATGGGCCTTCTCCTAACATCCCCTACCCTGCCCCCTAGACTCCACCGAAAATGCTTTCAGAAAGGTTATACATTACCTAATTTTCAAAGGCAATGGAAATTTTTGGGTCTTCATTTTACTACATGTCTCATAACAGTTAACACTACTGACCACTCTATTTCTGTGTTATCACACACTTCTAGATGTCCTTTGACCTTTCTGTTCATTCTTTTCAGTCTCATTTGCTAACTCTACCTCTGTCTGTGTTTAATTTTTGCTATTCCCGCCCCTTTCTCACTTTACATTGATCCCTGAGTAATCGCATCCTCTTTCTTGGCATCTCCTTCAAACTATTTGCTGAATAGCTCCCCACATTTGTGTACCTCTAGCCCAGCCTTGCTTCTGAACCTGCTTATATCTTTCCACCTGCTTTGTGCCATTTTCACTTATCTCTGTTTTCAAAGCTTTTGACAGTTGTCATGTCCTCCTACCTGTTTATTTGTTGAACTTACATTCTAGACATCAAGTTTCTGCAGGCAAGAGATCATGTCTTACTCATCCTTAGATCTTCAGTGCTTAACAATGTACTTTACAGTTAGTAGGTACTCCATTAACAGTTTAAGAATTACTTTATTTCATTTTATTTATTAGTATTATTTTTTAGTTTGACCAGAGAGAGAAAGAGAGGGAAAGTGAGAAAGCAAGCTGTCATATCTGGGACTCAAACTGCGGTCAAGCACCTTAACTACCATGCCACCTACCAGCCCCCATAGATATTTAATAAAAGAGCAACATTTGTTCTGTCTTTAAATTCAGTTTAGTAAATACACTATCTTGTGTATTTCTCCACATAAAGGAACATTTTCAGTACACTATGGTCAGCACCCTAAGCTAGGATTGTGCCAAGAATTACAGCAACCTGAAAAAAGAGAATGACTAGGGGGATCAGAGAAGGTATTCACAGAAGATGTCAAGAGAAATGGGAACTAGCCTTGGTATGTACAGAACAGAGACTCCTGGAAGAAATCTACTGTGAGAAATCTATAACATGGGAGACAAGTTGGAAAAGACAGAGGCTAGAAAATGAAGAGCCCTTTAGGCCTCATTTTGGAATTTTAGATTAGCCTTTAGAGGAGACAGTAGAGGTTTTATCTAGAAGAGTGATAAAAATCGTGTTTTTGCTTTAAGACATGTTGGGTAGTTGTTGGAACAAGTAACGGAGGGATATAAGGTTGGAAATTAGCATGCTGTTGGGTCGTCAGAAAAGTCACGATGTATTTTTCTCTGCAAAATGTGCCATGACTTTTGTGACAACCCAATAGAGGAAGCTACTACCATGAATTTCTGAGAGTTCCAGTATTGGACTAAAAAGAGAA